CCTCCATCACCCCACCTCCTCCTCCTCCACCCCTTTCTCCACCCCATCACCTCTTCCTCCTCCACCCCACCTCCTCCTCCTCCTCCTCCTCCTCCTCCTCCTCCACCCCATCACCACCTTCTCCTCCTCCTCCTCCACCCCACCACCACCCCATCACCTCTTCCTCCATCACCCCACCTCCTCCTCCTCCTCCACCTCCTCCTCCCCCGATCTCCCATCACCGCCGCAGGCTCTCCTCGGCCCCGCAGCCCAGCGGCACCCCACGCAGGCTCCCTCCCTCCTCCACCCCTTCCTCCTCCCCTTCCTCCACGAGGACCAAAGCCACTTTGGGGCCGTGGCTGCGGCGGTGCTTGGTGAGATGGGAGCCCTGGCTGAAGGCTTCCCCGCACTCGGGGCACTCGTAGGGCTTCTCCCCGGTGTGCACCCGCCGGTGCCTCTCCAGGTGGGACGCCCAGGCGAATCCCTTCCCGCAGTCCCCGCAGATGAAGCATTTGAGGGCCGCGTGGCCGCGCCGATGCGCCAGGAAGGGCGGCGCGTCCTCGAAACGCTTCCCGCAGTCCCCGCACTTACAGGGCCGCTCGGGGCGGTGCGTCTTGCCGTGCTGCAGCAGATGGGCTTTCTGCGAGAAGCTCTCCCCGCACAGCCCGCACGGGAACGGCCGCTCGCCCGTGTGAACCCTGCGGTGCCTCTGCAGGTGGGACGCCCAGGCGAAACCCTTGCCGCAATCCCCGCAGCGATGGTGGCCGCGTTCCCTGCGGTGACGCCGCTGGTGCCTCAGCAGAGGCGGCGCGGCGCGGAAAGGCTTCCCGCAGTCGGCGCAGCGCGGAGGTTTCGTCCCCACGTGGCCGCGGCGGCGCTGGCGGCTCGGCTCGGAGCTTCGGCGTTTCCCGCAGGGGGAGCAGCGGAGCGGCCGCCGGCCCGCGTGGCTGCGGCGATGCTTGGCCAGATGCGAACCCTGGCTGAAAGCCTCCCCGCATTCGGGGCACTCGTAGGGTTTCTCCCCTGTGTGAACCCGCCGGTGCCTCTCCAAGTGCGAAGCCCAAACGAAACCCTTCCCGCAGTCGCCGCACTTGTGGGGTTTTTCGGCCGCGTGGCCCCGGCTGTGAGCCGCCAATTCGGCGGCGCCGGAGAAACGTTTGCCGCACTGTTGGCATTTGTGGGGTCGGTCGCTGCTGTGGGTCCGGCGGTGCTGGAGGAGGTGGGAGCTTTGGCTGTAGGATTCGCCGCATTCGGGGCAGCTGTAGGGCCGCTCTCCCGTATGGATCCGCCGGTGCCGCTCCAAATGCGACGCCCATGGGAAGGATTTGCCGCAATCGGGGCAGCCGAACGGACGGTCCCGAACCCGGGACGGCTTCACGCCGTTGGGTTTTGGGGTCGGGGCGGCGGGGGGCGTCTGCGTGACCCCGATAGGGACGGCTTTGTCGGGGCGCTTCGCTTTCCGCCTGTTGGATCCCAGCAATCGGTTCTGCGCCGGGTTTTGGGGCGGGAGCATCGGGGGCTCCTCTGAGCCCACAGCGTCCTCCTCCAGCCCCACAGCATCCTCAGCTGCTGCTCTGGGGTTCACCAAGCCCTGAGCTGCGAGAGATGGGGGGGGGAGGGGGGTCAAAATGGGGCTGGGATGGGTGGGATGGGGTTGGGATGGGGTTGGGTTGGGATGGATGGATGGGGGTGGGATGGATGGGTGAATGGGGATGGGATGGATGGGACAGGGTCAGGATGGGGTTGGGATGGATGGATGAATGGGGATGGGATGGGTGGGTGAATGGGGATGGGATGGGTGGGTGAATGGGGTCAGGATGGATGAATGGGGTCGGGATGGATGGGTAAATGGGGTTGGGATGGATGGGTGAATGGGGTCAGGATTGGGTTGGGATGGATGGGATGGGGTTGGGATGGGTGGGTGAATGGGGGTGGGATGATGGGTGAATGGGGGTGGGATGGATGGGATGGGGTTGGGATGGGATGGATGAATGGGGTTGGGATGGATGGGACGGGGTCGGGATGGATGGATAAATGGGTTTGGGATGGGGTTGGGATGGATGGATGGGGGTGGGACGGGTGGGTGAATGGGGTTGGGTTGGATGGGATGGGGTCAGGATGGATGGGACAGGGTTGGGATGGGGTTGGGATGGATGGGTGAATGGGGTCAGGATGGGGTTGGGATGGGGTGGTATGGGTGAAAAAGGGGTCGGCCTCAAACCTACAGCAGACGCAGCACCCAAAGCATGGGAGTGTGGCAATGGGGTGCCCCCCCCTCCCCCCCCCAAAAAACCAACCAGAGATTTGGGGAAATCCCCCCACGGCCACCAGCCTCCAAATGGGGGCAACCCCAAAGGCTGGGAAATAGGGGGGGGGGGGGGGAGCAGAGCGGGATTTGGGGCCGGCGTTACCGATGGACATCAGCGTCTCGTAGCTCTCGTGCATCACGTCGCGGTACAGCGCCGTGTCCAGCAGCTCCATGGCAGGCAGGGCATCCCCTATAGGGCAGGGAAACCCCTAAAAGGGGGGGGACAGGGGGGGGGAAATGACCCCCAAATCAGAGGCTGGATTTATAGGTTCGTTTGCGTGCAGGAGGAGCCAAACTATGGGATTTTTAGCCCGTATTTCATCCCCTGGTTAGGATGCATCCTTCAGCCCCAAGAGGGGGGGTCCACAGAATCCCCCAACCCTACAAGCTGGAGGGGGGGGAGGGGGGGGGGCCCAAACCGCCGGATTTTAGGGGAAAAACACAACAAATCCGAGCATTTATTGCAAAGGGGGGTTTGGGGTGGGGGGCGCAGTGAGGCAGCCCCGCATTTCCCACCCCATCGCATCCCATCACCCCAAATCCTTCCCCCATTTCCCCATTCCCCCCCCCTCCATCCATCACCCCGACCCCATTGACGATGCAACGACCCCAAAGCCGAACGCGGCGCGTTGCGGGGGG